AATTTACAAAGGTGGGGCATGTGCACGTACACCTCATAGAGGAGCACATGCGGGGTTACGGGCACTGGGGGAAACATAAAAAGGAACATTTTTGTTTTTACCACTCATTGAGCCAGTGACTCTCTGCTCCAGGCTGTGTGGAAGAGAGCAGTGGACATAGCCCAACAAGCATTTTGGGGAATGTCCTAAATTCATTGACTGATGGTAGAAGAAGAGAAACCACTTCCTGATCCATTGTCATGGCCCTGCATTTTGCCTTTCCATTCATTGTTCTGTCCCTGTTTTCCTTAAATTAAAAGAGTTCTCAGAATTCCTATAACGTACCATTTATATTTTGTGATGACCTAATCAGAATGTGAACTGCCAGTTTCAAATATGTTTTCTACCCATATCAGGGCTGCTGCCTAAGTCTGTGACTATCTCTGGGATTATATGTTGATATTTATGTTTGCAGTATGAGTCAACTATCAAAAAAGAAAATGATCCTCGTTTGAAAAAAGTCGCAATATACCTCACAGCAAGGTCCCTAATAGTATCTTTCTTTTACCATTTTGTCCTTCATCATGTCAGATATTAATGAATATATGTTATATCAATAGCTAGTGTTTATTGAGCTCTTACTCTCAAGGACTATGCTTGGTTATCTCATTTAATTCTTGAAACAACTATATGAGGGAGGCACCACCATGATCCCCATTTTACAGAGGAAACGGGGGCTTAGAGAAGGTCAGACGCTTGGCTGTGGCAACTCGCCTGGTAGCTGGTGGAGCTGTGATTTAAACTCGGGTAGAATGACTTCTGAGTCCATACTGAAGTCCATGACTTCTTATCTTCTATACTGATCACGAACTGATGGTATTACCATTTTTCTCTGGGTATAAAACTGTATAAATTACAGTGACTTCCCCTTAAGATCATTCATTTATTGAATAAATATTTATTGAGTTTCTCATACATACCAGGCAACTCTACTAAGTGTTGGAAATTTTTTGGAAAGCAAGACAGCCAAGCTCTCAAAAAGCTTACTTTTGAGCAAGAGAGAAAACAATATATAATTAAGTAAATGAAATAAAGTGATTAGATTGGGATTAATAGTATAAAGAAAATAAATGGGATACTGTGAAAAAGAATAAGAGTTGGAAACCAACTTTGGAGAGTATGTTTAGGGAAGGCTTCTTTGAGGAGGTGATGTTTAAGCTTAGACCTGAAATAAAGGAGCCAGCATGCAGGAATTAAGGGAGGAACGTTCTAGTAGGATAGAGGAGCAGTACGTTCAACAGATGCAGCTCCCTGCCTTAGACATTTGAATTGTAAACTATTCAGGATACATGATTTCGTTTTCTGTCTTTATAGGGTCTAGTAGTGGGAGATTCAACAGTCTCTCACAGGTTCATTTCAGTGTTCTAATATAGTTTAAACATTCTTTCTATATTCAACATGAAAAAATTAAAAATCACTGCTACTATTTCTATTCTTGTTAACACATTGGTGCGTTTCCTTCAAACCAGTTTTTTAAATTAACATTTCTTGTTTGCATGCTATATGCCAGGCACTAGCCCATGGGCTTTGCATGTATTATTTTACTCCTCAAACAGCCCCATGAGTAGGAACTATTATTAGTCAGTTTTAAAAATGAAAAAACAGACTTAAGGAGGTTAAATATCTTGCCCACTAACACCCAACTGAGCAAGAATCTGACCCCAGAACTGCCTGACGCCAGAGTCCCAACTCTAACCTCTGTGGCCTCTCCTTTATGTAAATACATATTGCATGGGGGCCGGCCCAGTGGCACAAGTGGTTAAGTGCGCACGCCCTGCTGCGCTGGCCCGGGGTTCGCCAGTTTGGATCCCTGGCGCGCACCAACGAACCACTTGTCAGGCCATGCTGTGGCAGCGTCCCATATAAAGTGGAGGAAGATGGGCACGGATGTTAGCCCAGGGCCAGTCTTCCTCAGCAAAAAGAGGAGGATTGGCAGATGTTAGCTCAGGGCCGACCTTCCTCACACACACACACACACATAAAAAAAAAAAAAAAAAAAACATATTGCATGTATTTTAGAAAAAATCTGCATCCTGGTTTTTTCATCTATTTCTCCACATCATTGAATGTTTTCGTTTTTTATGATTCTTTGTTTTCTGTCTTTTGCTATGTAGATTGTGTTTTCTTTGCTTTTATCTATTCCAGCGATTCAGAAGGTGTGCTTTCTGTTTTTAATTCTAGTAGTAATCGTCTTTAAATTAAACAAAGACCACCCAAATGAGAACAGACAGAAGCTGTTTATTCAGAGCTTGCCTCAGCAAGGGAGTCAGTCACCATCAGCTGTGTTTCACAGACTCGAAGGCAGGCAGGGTAGTGAAGAAGCTTTGCAGGAAAGGAAGGTTTCGGGTGTGCCCTGTTTAGAGGTTGCTGCCATGGGGAAGCTGGAGGCTGACTAACTCGAAGCAGGGCATCCTATGCGATTTGCTTGGGAAGCATATTTGACTTTCTCTGGTTGGTCCTGAGTTGCACAAAGTGAGAACAAAGAATTGGGACATTGGCAGTCATTGACCAAGTCTTAACCATTCTAGTTGTTTAGGGAGTGTGTCTTGAGCAGCTTTCTGAATACAATATAGCATTTTAGAATTCTATTCCCTACATAGCTACCGTTGTTTGAAGGCTTACCAAATTTCAGGCACTGTGCTAAGCACCTTACATGCATTACCTCATTTAATCTCCACAACAATAGTATGGAGTAAATACTATCACTTTCATTTTACAGTAAGAAAGTTGCCTATGATAGAAATTCTATGATTTACCTAAAGTCACACAAAACAAGAGTGGCAGTCAGGATTTGAAGGTGGCCTGACCCCAAGGTCTGTGCTCTTAAGTGAGTGTTATACTGCATTTTACATACATACACACACACACACACACACACACACACACACACAGCAATTGCATGAGTATTTGAGTGGCTGTATGAAAACACAACTAATGTTCAAGGAATTTTTAATAAATAAAATGTATTACTTCCATGCAAAAGACGTGTCAAACAGTTGCTTTGAAACCTATTGCTTATTTAATATGCAAAACATTTATCAGCATTTCTTTTGAAAGTATATTCAGAATTATTTTATGATACAAACAAATATTAGTTTCATTAACTGACAATCATACCTTGTTTTTGACCAAGAAGTATTGAACATTCATTCACCAGATTTTTCTCCACAGGACTTTTGGGTTATTATAAAAGATAATCTTTTTCACTCAAATCAAAATTTTCCCCTATGTGAATATTCAAAAGAATCTGCCACAAAATAATATAAGTTCCTTATGGTTCTGTAACTATAGTACAAGAACACTCTTAGGCATCTATTAAAATTCTATTAATGAAAACCACATAGAACCATGGGAAATGTCCATTATGTTAACATAAAAGATGGTATGCATATTATAACTGCAGTTATGTAAACATGCATCCAGATAGACAGGAACAAAGACTGGAAAATAGTTTGCAAAAATAAAAATGATTGCAAAATTATGAGGGATTTTTCAAAATTTCCTCAAGTATTTTACTGTATTAATGTAGCTAGTCTTTATGCTAGTCAACACTACCTTCACTTCCCCATGCTCTACACAGTTATGTTAAATGGACCGGTAGCCTGTGGACAGTAATCCACAAGGAAAATAATAAGATCGCTGCCAGTTTTTCAAAAACCACTAATTAACCACAGGGCTAGGAGGTCCTCTTCTCTATAGCAAAGTAGCGTAGTTTTCTAGCAGTTTTCCTTTTCTGTGGCTGTTTCAAAAAGCTGTTATTTTTCCACTCAAAATGTATAATTATCACTTAAATATTCAAGCTCACTTTAAGGCTGCTGCTTTCCCAGACAGAATATTAAACTTCCTTGATCAAGAAACTACAGCACTTCATTATCTGTATTATCCAGTGTAAACCCCCAGCCAAGCATTAAAGACTTAAAATCACCTGTCCCCTCCCCGTAACACTTCAGTATAAAGTTTTCCCCGTCAAGAACTCTCTCTAATGGTTAATTCCTCTGTTGTTTGACATGCCTCATCATGATTCAACACTGCAAACTTCATATATGAGATTAAAATAATTATAAAGAAAATCCCTATATTCCAATGATTTTTGTTTCACATTTTCATTTTTTAATAAAATAAAGTATTACAGAGAAAATTCAGGTCTCCTTTGTTCCTTTCCCCAGGCCCATTCTCTTCCCTCCTTCTCTGGAGGTAGCTACAATCATGGATTTGTAGAGGAGCTTCCAGTATGTTTTTATACTTATGCATCTGTAAACAATATATATAGTATTTTCATGCGTACTTTAAGATTTTCACAAATGTCAGTGTACTCTACATGTCTTCTGCAACTTGCTTTTTTCATTCAACATTGTTTTTGAGATCCGTCTACATTATACTAATAGATTTTTTTCACTTAAGTTCCCTGCAGCATATTAATTGTCCTGTGATTGCAATTTACTTGAAAATGAAGGAGCGTATTCTGAAAAGATCTTGAGTTACTCCCTTTGTGACAGGGAGGGAGAGCTCTTGCCCGAAGAGCTTTCTGCCATCTTTGATTTGAAGAGGGGGGTGGAGTGTCTTTCAAGTATGAGCACAGCTCTGAAGTAAAAAGCATCTCGTCAAGGCTAGGATAATACGTGCTGACTGGGTGAGGGAACGAGGAGTGGTTTTAAAATATGATTATGCTTGGCGCATATGCTATTTAAGATACCATTCCTCCCTCCCAGCAAGATCCTGTCACGCTGGTGTTGATGGCTGTATTCTTCTGCTATGGAAGAAACAGAACTAAAGGAGACAAACGTCTCTTTGGCATTTGTCTGAGACACAGATAAAGACTTGGATCTCGACATTCCCTCTGTAGTTGGTGAACATTTGTTGAACACCGACAGTGAAAAAGGCACAGGAAATGCAGCTGCTTGCAATATCATTTCGGGATAAGCAGGAGCCTTGCTGAGTTTTCTGTCTGTCTTTTATTAAAGGTCCACACACGTTCCCGTCGGGGAGGATCAAGTCCAGCACATGGAGCTGGTTCAGGATCTAGCACAAGGGTTTAACAAGAAGTATGGGGAGTTTTTCCCGGTGCCCGAGTCCATTCTGAGTAAGTAATGAATGTGATTGTTAAATCAGCGTTTTGAAGAGAGGATTGGATAATGGACAGAGGCTTGGAACTTTCTTGGGATCAAACTTGGCTTTCTTGTGGACAGCCTTCAGGATTTGTAACTAGAATCCCCATCTTTTTCTGTAATGTAGGACTAGTAGACCTCGTTGGATTGTTGAATAAAATAACCAAAAAAGTTTGAAAAGTATGAGAGAGGCTAAAAACTAAAAACAATAATTTGCATTTATAAAGTATTATATAATTTGCCATTTGGTAGAACAGGTACCTTTCCCCATTTTGTGGATGAGGAAACGAAGGTGTGGTAAGGCCAACTTTGTGTCCAAGTCACATATCTAGTGGCAAAGCTGGACCCACGTTGAGCTCCTCTGATTCCAGAGCCAGTTTAGCTTGCCTTCCCTATTCACGAAGAAACAAAAGTCATAAGAGTGAGAGCTGTTGAATCAATCCACATAAAACAAGAGGGAACTGATCGTTCTTGCACTCTGCCTTCTTAAATGCATAACTGAGATGGAATGTACAGTTTACTGATTGAACCTGAAACCTCAACTGCAACTGGCGAGGCTGTGCTGGTCTGGAATCTTCTTGAGGAAAGAAGCTGTAAATTTCTATCAGCATTTTGGTCGCCATGTAAACTTATGGCAGAGGCAGAAATCACTGAACCTAAGCTCTTTCCATCTTTATTAAGCTGACAGCATTTTAAAGGAGTATGACATGTGCCTAGTATCAATTTAAAAACATAAGGTGAGTGTAAATTTCTAAGTTATTCCAACCGTTCACATAAATAAATTTAGGGCACCCCATGCATTGAAATCAACCTTCTTTTAGCAATAAGTACTATTTTAATGTTTTAGCCTATTATTATCTTACCTATTGCAACTTTATATGCCTCTGTAATAGCCATAAAATAGGCAATTATTAACTAACACTGGTTTATGAAGCACAGCTTAACATCTTGATTCTATCAGAGCAATAAACAAGTGACTTCTCCCGTGTGTGTGTGTGTGTGTATGCGTGTGTGTGTGTGTGTGTATTGATTTATACTTATATAATCATGGGTAAAGAAATAGAAGGATTGCCACAGATTGTTAAAATTGGTTTTAGGGCAGGAAAGGCAGTGGTTGTAGGCAGAGGGTGATTAGGTAAGAGGGAAGAACAGAGAGGAAAGAGAGGGAGAGGAAAGAAATAGACAATACTTTTTTGAAGGTGTGCACAGCAAAAACAGTAGGATTGATAATTTCATTTGTGTAATATTATACATTTTATGTGTATATATGCATTAAAAGATACATAAAAATATCAACGAGATGTTAACAGTATTATTGATATTTCAGATGATCTTTACTTGCATGCTTATCTACATTGCTTGAATTTTTCATGAGTATTTGATATTTATATAATCAGATATAAACAATAAAGTCACTTGTTATTCTGGCATTTTTTTGAAGATCTACACACTGACATTCCGGTGTTGTTTTTTTATTTTGTTATTTTTGTTTTGTTTTGTTTTTGGCCTGTGTGTGTTGGTGTTGTTACCTAGCATCGATGAAGAAAGTAAAATCCCTCCGTGATCCTTCTGCCAAAATGTCGAAATCAGACCCTGATAAACTGGCCACCGTCAGAATAACAGACAGCCCGGAGGAGATAGTGCAGAAATTCCGCAAGGCTGTGACGGACTTCACCTCGGAGGTGACCTACGACCCAGCCAGCCGAGGGGGTGTCTCCAACATGGTGGCCATTCACGCCGCGGTGACAGGACTCCCTGTGGAGGAAGTGGTCCAGCGCAGCGCTGGCCTCGACACCGCTCGCTACAAGCTGGTGGTAGCAGATGCTGTGATTGAGAAATTTGCTCCAATTAAGAGTGAAATTGAAAAACTGAAGCTGGACAAGGACCACTTAGAGAAGGTTTTACAAACTGGGTCAGCAAAAGCCAAAGAATTAGCGTATCCTGTGTGCCAGGAGGTGAAGAAATTGGTGGGGTTTCTATAGGAAAGTTTCAACTAATCACAAAAAGGCTTTTATATCTTGTGGTCTATGCACTCCAATAAACACTGCTTTCCTCACAAGCAAAAATTGATAGTTTGGGGACATTTAATTTGGTATACCTAATTATTGGTTTCATTTGATGAATAATGCTTTGTAGCCTTCAAATAGAGCAATGTTCTAAATCCCATCAGCAAAATGCTGTGGCCGAGAAGACACAAAGAAGGCATAGCTATCTGAACACTCAATTATTTGAGGCACACTCCTTGGTCTGAGTTTATCCACACAAATGTGATTGAGATGAGCGGTAATTTGGCAAATGGAGGTATCATTTGTGTTGCTCTCTGGAGCATGTACTGTCATAGGTGCTCACTTTATGTATCCCAACCCTTTTAAAAAGTAGTATGTACAGTTCTTAGACTTGTAATCCTTGGGATGCAATTGGGGCCAATTTGTATTCAGATCTCATAAAAATAAGTTGATTATTATAGTTCATTTGTTGCTGAGATGGTGCCTACCTTACTGTATTTAAGCTGCTTGTTTCCCAAGAGACCACATTGAAAATTTCAGCAAATTATTATTATTATTTTATTTTATTTTTTTTGTGTGAGGATGATCAGCCCTGAGCTAAAATCTGTGCTAATCCTCCTCTTTTTGCTGAGGAAGACCAGCTCTCAGCTAACATCTATTGCCAATCCTCCTCCTTTTTTTTTTGTTTTCCCCCCCAAAGTCCCAGTAGATAGTTGTATGTCATAGTTGCACATCCTTCTAGTTGCTGTATGTGGGACGCGGCCTCAGCATGGCCGGAGAAGTGGTGCATTGGTGCGCACCCAGGATCCGAACCCGGGGCGCCAGTAGCGGAGCGCGCACACTTAACGGCTAAGCCACGGGGCCAGCCCAAATTATTAGTTTTTTTAATTCAGAGATACATGATATAATCTTCTGAGTAGGTTGCATTATTTATTGCACGAAAGCCCAGGTCCCTGGATTGTGTTCTTAATAAGTACTTCCTTGCATTCGTCTCTCAGTTTAATCTCACCAACTCCCTGTGACATATATAGGAGAGGAGGTGCCATTTTACACCTGAGGAAAGTGAGGTTCAGAGAGGACAATTAACTTGCACAATATCACTCAGTAAGAAGCAAATCTAAGATTAAAACCTTTACTCCTTATTCCTAAGAGTACTACTTTTTCCATCAGCACAAAACCCTGAGAGGCAGCATGTTTGAGACTCCAAACATTCTTATTTTGAAGATGGGTACTGGAAATATAAGACCTGAACTACTGATATTGTTTATATCAGCAGCTCAACCAATAGCTGCCTGCTTTAAATCTGGATTCAGCCAACCTTGGTCATATTTGCTCCTCAAAATCCCCAAGGCAGATCCTGAGTTTTGTCTCCTATGCTTATTGTGGAGACACTTCAAAGCATATTCTGCCAGACTACAATAGTAGGGAGGCCTGACAAGTCAGATTTTCCCAATGAGTGGAAGCTTCTCATCTCACCTCTACCTCAGTCTAAGTACTAACAAGTCATTCTAAAACCTAGCTTCTCTGCACTTTCATTTCCCACACCTTAAAATGGAAATAGTGATCCTGACTTACCACACCAGGATGTGTTAGGAAGATTGATTTTGTAACAGGAATTGCTTATAAGTTTTTTGCCAGTGAGTACCGTGATCACCATTTATACATAAAACACTAGTATGTTGGACAAAGAATTTTTACTCGTGTTTCTTCAGAGGAGGAAGTAGAGTGGTCCTTGTATCAGAACAGATATAAATCCACAAAACACTGCATACCAGAATCCAAATTACAAGACCCTTTTTTGGATCTTTTCTTGGAGTGGAGTGTCAATAGTCCTAGGGCCTCTTTGGGCATATTTCTTCCAAGGCTCTTGTTTTTCCTTTCAAAGGAACCCTATAATGAATACTGGAAAATCAAATTAATTGTCTGTCTATCTACCTGTGTGGTTTTCTTTACCCCCTTGCAATACTTGTTGTCCAAAGAACTAAAGGCACCATGGAAAGAATCTCTGAGGAAAAAACTAGATGACTTGTGAGAACTTCCAAGGAGCAAAGCCCTGTGAGGTGGGGCTTGTGAACAACGGCTGTTGTTATTCTTTGAAGGTGACCTGTGGGCTAATCAAGTCCAAAATCAACCCATAATGATTGAGAGACGTGCCCAGTGATCTCAGGAAGTTGATAAAAGAGCCAAGGCTAGAACCTAGATGGATTTTCACATCACTTCCACTTACCATTTACAGGCCTCAGCACAATCTTTTTATCGAGATGAAAAATCAGAGAGAAATCTAAGTTGTGGCTCACCTCAAAAGGTGATTTTAATTGTTATTTTCCACATGTTTTGTGGAGAGTTGAAAGGATGAAAAATATTTCAGATGGTAGTAATAATGGTCAGGTAACTTGGTGCTCTGAGCTCCACCAACTGACAAACCCTACTTCAAACCCACCTTGATGGACGATAGCTTGGAACACAGTGAGAGTTTCTTGCCCTTCGTAGGTACCTCATAAACACTTAGCAAAATTATGTCAGAAAATGGACTAAAGATTCCTAATGAAGTGTAGGTTTTGTTTTTGTTTTCAGAAACTGTCCTGATGCACACCATAAAGATGCTGATCATAAAACAATAACTAACACTATTGAGTTCTTGCTATGTATTAGGCACCATGACTAAATGCCTTATAACGTTATAAACCAATGTTACTGCAATAAACAAAAAATTTAAAAAAATAAAAATAAAAAAAATAAATAAATAAATGCCTTATAACAGCATTCTTCCAAGTATGGTTCTCAGAGCAGCAGCATGATCATCACCTGGGAACTGTTAAGAATGCAAATTTCTCTGGCTCTACCCCAGACCTACTGAATCAAAACTTTGGGGATGAACCCAGCAATCTGTGTTTTAACAGCCTTCCAGGAGATTCTGATGTGTGCTAAACTTTAAGACCACTGCTTTATATGTATTCTCTCCTTTAGTCCTCATAACCCAGTAAAGTAATATATTATCAATCTCATATTACTAAAGATGAAACTGAGGCACAGGAGGTTAAGTAAGTGTGGTCAGAGTCCCACCAGGCTACAGTGGCTCCTGCACAATGTCTACTGGTGTGTTCAGGGTAATGTGCTCTAAGGCTGCCCAGGCCAACATGATATGTGTCTATTTAAATTTAAATTAATTAAAACTAAGTAAATAAAAAATTCATTTCCTCAGCAGCACTTTCAAGTGCCCAGTAGCCTCAGTGGCTAATGGCTAGCGTATTGGACAGTGCGGGTAGGGAATACTTCCATCATCAGAGAAATGTCTAATGGACACTGCTGTTTTAAGACTTTCAGCTTACTGATTTTGTTTGTACTAAGTCCAGCACATACAGTTAAGTACTCTCTGGAGACTTCTTCGACTGAAGAATTCATGAAGATAGTAAAAGGATTCATTGAGAATGACAGACCATATAGTCTCCCAAAGAATACTGAAATAAGAAGAGCTAGCAACTTATGCGCTTGCTATATGCTGGGCACTTTGTGTGTTTATATGCAATATCTCATTTAATATTTATATCAGCTCTATAAGATAGGAACTATTAGTGTTAGTTTTTCAAATAAGAAAACTAAGATTCAGCAACTTGCCTAAAATCACACATTTATTATTAATCTCTAGTTCCTCCTAGTTAGGAACCCAGTGATAACCCTTAACTAGTGTGCCCAAGGGACACCCGCTCTTGACTAGTCTGCCCCCTCTTGACTAGTCTAGATTCTGATCCTCTCCCGTGTGTCCCATGATCTTAGCCCTCACATCTCCCTCTCTCCTCCCTTCTTCCTTCCTCTCCTTCCTTCAGTTTCCTTATAGTTATTCCCCAAAAGTTCTTCATTTGTGCACACAGCAGTCTTTAGGTTGCTTTCTCCTGCAGCTTTCGTTTTGCTCCAGTTCACTCTGTCAAGTGCTGTGTGCCTATGTTACTAGTTAAAGGGAGTGACTGTGCCATGTGGCAGCTCTTGGTCTCTTTCTCTTTAACATGATGACTCTGTTCTCACTATGTGTTCTCCCTGCATGTTCAGCTTTCTCTTTACACTCTGTCAACCGGGTGGGTCTTTTGAAATTTCTTTGGCAGGGAAGAGTTAGTTCCTTCCTGAAATTGAGCTGAAAACAGATTGCCTATCACTAGCATGTAGCATTTTCAAACACCCCCATAGGCAGAACAACCCGGAGGCTTTACTGTGAATCATTTTAAGCCCTCATATGTTAACTTTCAACAATTCTGTTATATTGGCTAGGTAGGGCTTATCTTCTTTGTTCAGGAAGGGGTTCAGAGTGTTAGTGAATTATCCTCAGATAAGTAATTCAGTATTATGACAAATGTTTATGTAGTGCCTACTTTGTGAAAGGCACAGGGGAAATACAATATGCCTATAATTGAAAGGAGGACACTCAGAGATACTAGCTAGCAAATGCGAGATGAGCATGGGAATGAGTGATTAGCCAAGATGTTTAGGGAAGGAATAAGATAGATATAGGGTAGGAAAAAGGGCCTCCCAATCAGAAACTAGGACAGAGAAACATGAAAGCATTTAGGAAAAAGCAGATCTGTACAGTAGGTGAGCAAAATGAGAATGGAAATATTAGACTGAAGCACATTAAATTGTCAATATTTCATTATTATTTTTTACCAACAAAACTGGTAGTTCCATGTGAATCAACCTAATATAGCCAATGAATAAGCATTTTGTGGAGGACCTGTTTTGTAGGTACCATGTAAGCACCAAGAATTAGAAATAAGACACAGTCTCCACCCTTAGGCTCCTTGTCCATGTGGAGGTGAACATGGAAAGCTGGTAAGAGATAGAACAGGAACTAGAACCAAAGTCTTCTGACTCTTGAACCTCTCCTGGGTACATCAACTATGGCATTAACTCTTCATTATTTGAAATAGGGCTTCTAAATGTCACACTCACTTAGTGGTTCTAAATAAATAGAATATTTAGTATTTGATATATTTGATAACCATGTTGGCTCTATGGAATGCAAACTCATGTTTTTAATATATCTTCCCCACTCCTACCTACATACACACACAGTAAACCAGGCGGGAAGTCATCATTTTCTAAAAGTGTTTCTGAAAAGCAGACAAGGTGACTTTATATGACTCTTTAGAATACACTGGTCTGATTTTACACAGTCACGATCTTATTCA